TACCCCTCGTCGTGCCTCGGCCGACGTCGTCCCGTTTCGTACGTACTCTCCCCCCCCCCCCCCCCCCCCCCGCCCGTCGGCCCGCTCCTCCGTCGTTGGGACTTGCTCCTGGCTGTTTCGCCCGCGACTGGACGCTCTCGCGGCGTGGAGCGCAATGGCCACCTCAGTAGGAATCGAAGAGCCAGTCGTGCTCATGGATCTCCCAAGGAGCGATGCCATGGCTGTGAGCGAAGTCAATAAAGGCCTGGCTGTAGCTTCCGTCCGGAAGGAATGGTGACGGGTGACTGCCATCGTCGTTGTCGTCGTAGTCGCTGGCTTCTCCGTACTCGTCCTCCCACTCATCGTCCGTGACCATCTCGAGGGAATGAACGGCCAGCAGACTGCCTAGGTGTTCCTGCCTGCGCACCTCGGCAGTTTGCGGGTCGGTCAAGCGCAACGAGCAGCCCTCTGGCAAGGTTCTGTCGCGGGCCGTGCTCCGCTCGAATTCGTCGAAGATTCGTTCAAGGACTGCCAAGCGGAGGGCCGCAGGGGCATGCCACACCCGAGTCAGCATCACATCGCTCGGCAGGTTCTCAGCAGGCGTGCACAGACATCCCGATGCAGGAAACAAGTACTCACTCTCCAAGGGAAGCCTGCTCAGACGGCAGGCTGGGTCGCGCGAACACAGCTGGAGCGTGGCGTCGCGGAGCCAGTCAACCTGTTGCGGCAGCACCTTCCAGCTCGGCAGCGTGAAGTGGTCCGGATCGACGAGGAAAATCTCGAGCATTGTGACGTGGCCAGGCCGGGTGCGGTCGACGAGGTTCAGGTTGGCCGTCTTGGCCTGCAGGTGGTTCGGGTACACGAAGCAGGATCCCGCCATCGGCCTCGTCGAGCCCAGAGCCTGGCTATGGACGCGGCGGCGTTTCAGACGCTCGGCGGAGAGGCCAAAAACGTACTCCTGCTGGCCATCGTCCAGGTGTTGAACGCTGCCGCCGGAGAGCGCCTCGCGGCCCACCGCCGTGATGAACTTGGTCGAAGGCGGCTCGATATTTTCGCAGTCGAGGTAGTAGATGCCCGTGGCGCAGATGTTCTCTGCCGGCGTGCCCGAGTAGTGCCAGCCCCCGCCCTTCCTCGACGGAACATCAGGAGTGAGTTGCTGTTTTGACAGCCGAACGACGACCTGGAGGGACTGCCCGTGCAGATTGACGGTCGGCAAGGCCGGCGGCACAAACGCACCGACTGGAAACCCCGCCGATGTGAGATGGCTCGAAAAAGGCTCTCGCGGCGCCCTCGCAGGAGTGGGCCTACTCGAAGGGAACAAGGGTCCACGACGGGCTGAGGCCTGTTGTCCAGACGTGTCTGAGACGCTGGTGACTGCGGCGCCGCTGTAGAAGGCTGGGTCAGCCTTGGCAGGGTAGGAAGCCAGCACGACTTCGAACATGGGGAGCATCGCTGCAAAAGCCTTGCCGATGTGGGCGTAGAGGCGGCGACCGGCAGGTTCGAATGGAGACAGGTTGTTGATGTACGAGAGAAAGGTGGCCGTGCTTCCCCGGGGATCCGAGCGGACCTCGGTCGGGATCCACTGGGCCAGCTCTCGGCCGCTGTGCTCGGTGGGTTTGTGCTCGTGCTTGGCGTTGACCGCATACGGCGCCTTGAAGCCCCTAGCGGCTGGATCCCAGCCCGCTCTCGAGGGACGGCGCAGCTCGTCGAGGAATGTCTGCGCCCGGCCCATCATCAGTGGACGGCCGCGGCGCGCAGTTTGCGGCCCGACCCTGGTGTACGGAGCCAGCGCATACATCGACGGGTCAATGAGTGCAGGCGCCTTGTCCTCATCGTCGAACCAGCCGGTCTTTGGCATGTGCGGCCTTTGCTTCGAGACGAGGCTGTCCGCAAGGCTTCAATCGCCTGCTTGAGCTCGGAGGCAGCGTCGGCATCGAGCAGGCTGCGGCGTGAATAGACGCCGGGGACGGCGGTCGGGTCGACGTCGGGGCCATACGGATCGGTAGCCAGCCAGCGCAGCTTGTCGACGAGATACTTTGCCATGCTCGGCGTGAAGCCGTGCTCGTCGAGTGATTCCTGCTTCCACTTGTGCGTTCTGGCCACGTCGTCCCTCACGGCGGTACGCCAGTGCGGGTTGCTGCGGATGATCTCGTCGATGCGGATGTAGACGCGCAGCTCGTCCAGGGCGAACGGGTGACCACCGTCGGCCTGTGCGTTGCTCGGATGGGATGGCGGGGAAATAAGGAGGGCGGTGGCGATGGTCAGAACGGCAGGGCTTGTACCAGAAGCGACGCGGAGGATATGTCGGAGGGCATCGCCTCTTTGTATGCTCACGGCGAGGCAGGGAGCGGTGCGCTCCTCCCATAGCTCCTTTCGCCGCGCAGACTCTTCAGCCATGGGAGTGGATCCTAGGGCGACCGAGACGAGCAGGGCAGCTATGGTGCTTGTCTCCTGGGCGCTGTAGATCTTCGACTGGATGTAGGCAAGCAGTTCGTTGAGCGAAGAGCGATGCTGGAGGAAGCCGCTTACGACGCTGCCTTGTTTCGGCGCCGCAGGCGGCTTAGTGGGCCTGCGCACGCGAAGGCACACGAAGTCGGCTCCATCATCGGCGGAAAAGCTTGAGTCGAGGGGACGGTAGCGTCGAGCCTTGACCTTCTTCTTCGGAGCGGGTTGCGTTGAATCGCCTACTGGAGGTTGAGAAGGGGCCGGATCGCCGTCAGTCCCGCCGTCATCTCCGTAATCCTCACTGACACGGAAGCTGTCGGGAGCAACTTCGATGTATTTTGCAAGCTCGCCGAGGTCAAAGTGGTCCAAGGCGTGGAGGAGTAGGGCGACAGTGATGGGGTGGACCTTGAAAGCGGGCTGGTGGTTGGGGACGATGTGGCTCTCGAGGGGCACCTCGAGGCGGGCGAGCGACTCTGGCGGATACACGCCGCAGTCGAGGCAGATGAGGGCGTGGACGAAGTTGTTGGCAAAGCGCGGGGGGCAGCCGACGGCCTCGAAGCGGATACAGCCCGAGGCAAGGTCGAGCAGCGCGCTGTGAAGCGGTTCAGAAATCTGCACCGGCGTGGCGAAGGACATGATGGCCAGCGCAAGCGCGGTGATCGCGACCAGAAAAGGCGACGGAGAGGGGGAGGTGGTGATGGCAGTCGGAAGCAAAGGTCAAGCAGGGGAGCGAGGCCGGGGACAATAGTGAGAATGGGGCACGGACCGGAGGCCAACCAGGCAGCTGGGGGACGTGCGAGAGAGCCCAGTCTGCTGTCCGCTCCGGCTCGTCCGACACCAGCCCAAGCCCGTCGGCGTTGGTCGCGACGATGGGAGCACCGGCTCCGTCCGACGGCACCGACTCTCGACGAGGTGTGATCCAGCCAAATATAACATGGACGGGACCATGCCGTCGAGACGGCGGGCCCAGCGGCAAGAGGCCTGCCAGGCAGCATACAAGCAAGCTGGCGTGATGGGCCAGGCCAGGCTTGGCCTGCCCGGCGGACAAAGGGACCGGCGGGGCCACGCCTGCCCGCTTTTCCTCTTGATTTTTTCGAACGGGAAACGGACAGCAGCGCCAGGCCGGGTGGAGCAGGGCAGGGCAGGGCAGGCCTGGCCTTGACCCTTTGTCCGCCACCCGCGTGTGGGAACGGCCTGCCAGGCCTGCCCTGCCGGTCGCTTACCCCAGCGCCTCGCCACGTCGCTCCAACTCATCCACCACCACCCCACCACCACCACCAGCCTCGCTCCCCGCATCACCGTTTCGCTGGCTCGCTCTGATCGAACAGCGCCCATCCCGTCCATACCCCCTCGTATCTATCGTCGGCAGCTCTCCAGCCGGGCAGACGGCAAAGACTCCTCGATTGCCCGTCCTTTCGACTCGACAAAGACCTCGACCGACCTCTTGCGGAACGGCGGAAGTCGTCAAAGCTTCACAAGGCATTCCACCGATCCCCACCGCGACGCCTCGCATTGCGATAGACGCCCCCCGACTCCGACTGTCCTGCCCATCCCTCCGCCAAGTCACGACTGCCAAGCCGCCCCTCTGCTAGAGCGGCCCCCCTCTCCCGTGTATGCTGGCCCTCAGGAAAGCCATTGCACGCTCAGCTGTCCGGAGTGCCTCTCCAGCTCGATCCCTGCCCTTTGCAGCGGCGGCCACTGCCACAAGTACCAGCCCGGCCCTTTTGCGCCACACTCGGCCCAGCAGCTCCAGCTCCAGCTCCAGCTTCAGCTCGGCATCCTCTTCACGCCCTTCGTCCGCGACTACTGCAGCCTCGCCGCAGCCGCTGTGAGTTGCCCGCCCCGCCCCGCTTCGCCCCGCTCCGCCTCGCCTCCCGTCCCCTTCGGCACGCCTCGAGACACCCTCTACCTCGCTCCACCTCGAATGGCGCGCACCCTCCAGCGTCTGACGGCCGTGCTGATCGCCGTGCTTGCCGCTCTTCTCGCCCACAGGCTCTCGTCGTCGTCCAGCCAGCTTTCCTTCAACATGGCCTCCTCGTCCTCGTCTCCCTCGTCGCCGCTGGCATCCAAGGCGCCCGGCAGCTCCCGCCAGCTCGCCACGGCGGCGGCCGCGTCCTCGAGCACCGTCGGCTCGGCCGGCTTCTCGTTTGACTCGCTGCCGCCCGGCTACGAGGTGCGCGATTCGATCGGCGACGTCAAGACGCCCGCTCCCTACGCCGTCTTCACCCGCGACCTCGAGGTGCCGTCGCGCGATGACATGAAGTACCGGCTGGTCCGCCTGGCCAACGGCCTCGAGGCGCTCGTCATCCACGACGAAAAGACCGACAAGTCGAGCGCCGCCATGGACATCCGGGTCGGCCACCTCTCGGATCCCGAGGAGCTCCAAGGGCTGGCCCACTTTTGCGAGCACCTCCTCTTCATGGGCACCAAAAAGTACCCGCGCGAGAACGAGTACAGCGAGTTCCTCTCCAACCACTCGGGCGGCTCCAACGCCTACACGGGCATGGACAACACCAACTACTTCTTCGACGTCGGGCCGGAGCACTTTGAGGGCGCCCTCGACCGCTTCGCCCAGTTCTTCCTTGAGCCCCTCTTCGACCCGAGCTGCTCGGAGCGCGAGATCAAGGCCGTCGACTCGGAGCACAAGAAGAACCTCCAGAGCGACGCGTGGCGCTCGTTCCAGCTCGAAAAGAGCCTCAGCGACGCCAGCCACCCCTACTCCCACTTTGGCACAGGCAACTACCAGACGCTGTGGGAGAACCCCAAGGGCAAGGGCGTCGACGTGCGCGACGAGCTGCTCAAGTTCCACGACCGCTACTACAGCGCCAACGTCATGAAGCTCGTCGTGCTGGGCCGCGAGCCGCTCGACCAGCTGACGACGTGGGTGATTGACAAGTTTTCGGGCGTCCGCAACACCGGCCGCAATCCCCCCGAGTTTCCCTCGTCGCCGCTCAAGCCCGAGCAGCTGCAGAAGCAGGTGTTCTACAAGACGGTGCGCGACATGCGCTCGATGCGGATCGCCTTCCCCATCCCGGACCAGGGCCCGCTCTACCGCACCAAGCCGAGCCACTTCCTGTCGCACTTTATCGGCCACGAGGGCGAGGGCTCGATCCTGTCGCACCTCAAGCGCAAGGGCTGGTGCAACCGCATCAGCGCCGGCGGCTCGGACGGCGCCAATGGCTTCCAGTTCTTCAAGATCAACATCGACCTCACCAAGGACGGGTTGGCCCACCACGAAGAGGTGCTCGAGAGCGTCTTCAAGTACATCCACCTGCTGCGCTCGTCGAAGCTCGAGGAGTGGACCCACCGCGAGGTGTCGCAGCTGAGCGAGCTCATGTTCCGCTTCCGCGAAAAGTCGGACCCGGCCGACTACGCCTCGGCCATCGCCACCGAGATGCAGATGCCCTACCCGCGCGAGTGGATCCTGTCGGGCGCCTACCTCAGCCGCGAGTTTGACCTGCCCCAGATCCAGCAGACGCTCGACATGCTCAGCCCGCGCAACTGCCGCGTCATGGTGGCCGCCAAGACGCTGCCGGACGGCACCGCCGAGTGGGAGGGCCGCGAGAAGTGGTACGGCACCGAGTACACGGTGCGCCCGCTGCCGGAGCGCCTGCTCGACCTCGCGCCGTCCGACTACGAGGACCTGGCGCTGCCGCGGCCCAACTCGTTTGTGCCGACCAACTTCGAGCTCAAGGGCCAGCTGGCCGCCGAGCGCGGCCGCAAGCCGGCGCCGCGCCCCACGCTCGTCTCCGAGACGCCGGCGATGCGCGTGTGGCACAAGGTCGACGACCAGTTTGGCATGCCCAAGGCCAACCTCTTCTTCACCATGCGCAACCCGGCCATCAACGCGACGCCGCTGGCGGCCACCAAGACGCGCATGGTCATGGACCTGGTCAACGACGAGCTGACAGAGTACTCGTACGACGCCAGCCTGGCCGGCCTCGCCTACTCGCTCGACTCGCAGGACAACAGCATCGTGCTGTCGGTTAGCGGCTACAACGACAAGCTCAACGTGCTGCTGCAGAACATCCTCAAGGAGCTCATCAACTTCAAGGTCGACGCCCGCCGCTTTGACATCATCAAGGACCGCGTCCGCCGGGGCTGGGAAAACTTCAGCATGGAGGAGCCCTACCGCCACGCCCACTTCTACCTCACCTACCTGCTGCAGGACAAGATGTGGACGCCGCGCGAGAAGCTGGCCGAGCTCGAGCGCCTGACGGCCGAAGAGGTGCAGGCCTTCCTGCCGGAGCTGCTGCAGCGGATGCACGTCGAGGTGCTGGCCCACGGCAACCTGCAGCGCGACGAGGTGCAGCGCGTGGCCGACGAGTCGCTCGCCACGCTCCAGAGCCGCCCGATCAACCCGGCCGAGCTGGTGTCGCAGCGCTCGCTGCTGCTGCCGCCCGGCAGCAACCACGTGTGGACGCTGCCCGTCACCAACGACGCCAACATCAACTCGGCGCTCGAGTATTACTGCGAGGTCGGCGACCCTTCGGACGTGGCGCTGCGCGCCAAGCTGTCGCTGCTGTCGCAGATCGCCCACGAGCCGGCGTTTGACCAGCTGCGCACCAAGGAGCAGCTGGGCTACCTCGTCTTCAGCGGAGGCCGCCGCTCGGTCGGATCGATGGGTTTCCGCATCATTGTCCAGTCGGAGCGCGACGCCCCTTACCTCGAGTCGCGCGTCGACTCGTTCCTCGACCAGCAGCTCAAGCCGCTGCTCGAGCGCATGACCGATGACGAGTTTGCCGCGCACCAGTCGAGCGTCATCCACAAGAAGCTGCAGAAGTGGCTCAACCTCAACGAGGAGTCGCACACCTACTGGTCCAACGTCTTTTCGGGCAAGTACGACTTCCTCTCGCGCTGGACCGACGTCGAGGCGATTGGCAAGCTGCGCAAGTCCGACGTCGTCGACCTCTTCATGACGCGCATCCACCCGTCGAGCCCGACGCGCGCCAAGCTGTCGGTCCACCTCGCCTCGTCGGCCAAGGCGACGCGCTTCAGCGTCGAGGCGGCCGAGGCGCTCCAGGGCGCCATCGAGGCGCAGCGCATCCCCGTGCCCAAGGAGGCGCTCGAGGCGCTCAAGGCGCAGCAGCCCGCCGTCGAGACGGTCAAGGACTTTGCCCAGCAGGCGCTCTCGCAGGTGCCCGACCTGCCCAAGGAGAGCCTCAAGTCGATGATGGACATGATTGATGCGCTCGCCGCCCAGTTCCCCTACAAGGAAGCCGCTGACGACAAGCAGCAGCAGCAGCAACAGGCCGTTGTTGCGTCCGCGGTGCCGGCCGTCGAAGTGGCCGACCCGATCGCGTTCAAGGCGTCGCTGCACTCTTCCAAGGCCGCCGTGCCCGTCCGCAGCCTCGAGGAGCTGTTCAAGGAACCCGAGGACGAGGCCGAGCAGGTGGCCAAGCTGGCCCAGGCCGCCATCGCCCAGATCGCGCCCGCCTCGGAGTCCAAGGCCAACCTCTGAAGGCGAGGCCGCTCGACGGTCGATCCTCCAAGGCCGCCGCCATGACCAGGTTCGAGGACCCCGTCCAAGCAAGCCTGCCACCCTCCTGCGGTCGGCCGCATCCTAGACCAGACTCCGCACACCGCTCACACCCGATCCCCGCTCGTTTCCCCACCAAAGCCCGCACACCGCTGGACGCACCGCTGTAACCCTAGAGCCGGAAGTGAAAGAGATAGAACGTGATCCCATGCTGACGGGTCTGGCAGGCTGGGCCCGGGACAGAAGAGAGGAGCGCGTCGGCCCGACTCCGGAACGAGGTGGGCGAGCGGGCGTGGCCGAGGCGCGGCGTGGAACTCGGGAGTGGGCCGGCCCGGCGAGAGAAAAGTGGAGCTGGCCTGGTCGCTGCCCTGCTGCGTCTCAACCTCGACCATCTTCTGCATCGTTCTCTCCTCTCTCTCCTCTCTCTCCGTCTCTGGCTGCTTTGCACCGACTCGTACCTCCCTTTGCCACTTTACGCCGTCACGCACAGGATCGCACTCACTCCGCCTCTTTGCGCCACGCTACGAAGGCAGGGCCAGCATGACGGAAGCAGCCGACGAGCAGGTACGTCGTCTTTGGCAGCGTGCGTCGCCCGCCCTCCCATCCTCTCGCTCATCCGTCTGAGACCGCCGCCCTCCGTCTTCCCGCTCATCCGAACTGCTAGACACTGGATGCGACGCTGTCGGCGCTGCTGGCGCTCTCATCGCTGAGCGCCCCGCCGAGCGCAACGGACCGGCTCTCGATCCTCGAAACGGCCACCCCGCTGCTGGCGCAGCTCAAGTCGACGAACCGATCCATCTACACGACGCTCAACGAGCGCAAGGCCAAGGTCAACGATGCCAGGTCCAAGGTCGACGTGGAACGCCTCAAGCTGCAGAACTACGAGTACGAAAAGACGATGCTCAAGATCGAAGTCTGGGCCTGCAGGATGTTCCAGTACGTTGGCGTCTGGCGCTCGGCGGGCAGGAGGGCGGGTGGGCTGAGGACTGACTCCTCCGTGCGCTCCCTTGTGGTACGGCTCGACGGACTGACAGGTCGATCTACCAGGACGTCGACCTGCATTCCGAGGAAGAGTTCCTGCAAATCGCCCCCGAAGACCTCAAGACGGACGAGATCCGCAACGACCCGCATCTCTTCATGCTCAGTCGGTTGAAGTTTGAGCTGACGGAGAGGAAGAGGTGCGCATCGTTCTCCTCTCGTTCCTCACATCTGGCGTTTATCGCAGGGACGACTAGCTGACTCTTTCACGGCTCTCTTCTCGTCTCGAATCCAGACTGGAGGCGGAGAAACAGTCGCTCCAGTCTCAAAAGTCGGCCGTGATCCGCGAGAGCAAGGAGAAGAAGATCAAGCTTGAAGAGGCGGAAAAGGAGCTCAAGGAGCTGCTCGCGGTGAGTTGCTCAGGCTCATACCTGTCCCCTGGGTTTGGCAGACGAGCGAGTCGAGCTGATCCCTTGTCGACCGCATCCATGTCGAACAGGCGGCCAAAGCGGTTGGGAGCAAGTTCGACAACACCACGACGCAACAACAGCAAGAACAGCCTTCGTCGGCCGACGCTCCGGCCGCAGAGGCGTCCGCGTCGAACCCCGCTGCCGCTTCCTCGGCATAGCGCCACGCCCAGCTACAGTCGTGGGCGGATCATCCACCATCGCACGGCATCCTATGCTGCGCCCTCCCTGTATTTGTACACTCCACGCACTCCAGCTCCTGCCCTGCCGCATCCACACCGGCCCAGCGGCCCTCAAGCAGCGACGCCCATCATCCGCCGGACGGCCTGCATGTTGGCCTCCGCCGCCTCCTCGGCCTTTGCCCTGCCCTTTTCCTCCATCTCGGCGAGGTAGGCCTGGTCCATCTTGACCCTCTCGAGCTCGTGCTGGATGGGACGGAGCGCCTCTACGCACACGTCGGCGACGGCGTCCTTGAGGTACTTGCCGCTCGGCAGCTCCTTGCCGCCCTGCTCGGCCTGGCGCGCCAGGGCGCCGTTGAGCTCTTCGGCCACCTTGGCTGGCGTCGATCCTGGATCCGACGAGAGGCCGGACAGGATCGAGAGCAGGTTCGACACGCCGGGCCGGTTGGTTGGGTCGTACGAGATGGTCCGCTCCGCATCGGTGACGGCTTTGCGGATCTTGGACGAGATCTGCGCCGGTGTGTCGGTCAGGAGGATGCGGGAGTTGACGTCTGGCGCCGACTTGGACATCTTTGAAGTCGGGTCTCGCAGCGAGAGGATCCGCTTGGTCGGAGCTGAAGAGGTGCAGCAGGCGGGATCGACGAGGGTCAGGTCATCGGCGTGGACAGCCAAGAGGACGCCCCCAGGCAAGACGGCACGTACTGATGATGTGCTGAGGGAGCGGGAAGAAGCGCTTCCTGTAGGTCCGGTTGAAGAGGTCGGCGACGTCGCGAGAGAGCTCGAGGTGCTGCACCTGGTCCTCTCCGACAGGCACATGCGTCGAACTGGTCGAGGCGCACGGGGGGGGGAGAGATGAAGCTCAGAGCTTCGGAGCAGGGCAGGATCTGTAAGACTCTTTGCTGCAGCACTTACCGGTAGAGCAGGATGTCGGCGGCCTGGAGCACGGGGTACGCAAAGAGGCCAAGTGCGAGCTGCGTCTCGTCGATGGACGACTCGTCTGCGCTGTTCCGCGCCGTCGCCAGCTTCGACTGCGAGACGGTCCAAGCCGGAGCGAGATGGCGGCACAAGCGCAGAGTATGAGTGATGGACCCTGTTCTCAGCTCGACCCTGGCTCCTCGAACCCACCTTCCACGTCGTCATCCTGCCGAGCTTGCCAAAGGGTGTCTGGCACATGAGGTACCAGGCGAGCTCGGCATGCTGTTTGACCTGGTCCTGGTGGAAGATGGTGCAGCGGTGCGGGTCGAGGCCGATGGCGAGGAGGGTGGCCATCATCTCGCGGCGCTCGCGAAAGAGGCGCTTGGGATCCTGCGGCATGGTGAGGGCGTGCATGCCGACGATGGAGAAGAGGAGCGTATCGTCCGGCGAGGCGCCATTCTGCAGGTCGACCCAGTTGCGCAGCGCTCCGAGGTAGTTGCCGAGGTGCGGGATGCCCGTCGGCTGAATGCCGGAGAAGATCGTACGTGGTCTCGGGGTAGAGCCGGGAGGAGGCGGGGACGAGGATGAGGACGGGGAGGCCGTCGGAGGGGCAGCGTCGGCGGTCCCTTGCGAGGTCCAAAGGCAGCGTCGCGCAGGCGTAGGGACGGCAGAGCCGATCGGCAGGCGGCTGGGCCCAGCGATGGCCTGTCGGACGAGCCTGATCGCTGCCGGCATGGTAGGTGTGATGTGATGGTCGTCCGGGTGTCCGGTCGTGGAGCAGGAACGGGACGATGTGGCAAGCAAGCTGGCGCATCCTTGAGAAGGAAGAAAGTGGAGCATGCCCGAGGGCCTTCCCGTTGGCCGGCTCCCGAGAAGATCCGGCCTACGACGAGGAATCGGCAGATCGGCGTCAGGCTTGTGAATCGGGACACTACTTCGATCTGGCGCGACCAGGTGCGGGATCTGGTCGAGAGTTGGCCGACGCCGCACCGCCCCCGCCCGCCCGCGGCGGTGCCGCCGCCTGTGGAACCAGGAGGCAGGGCCGCCGACCTCCGAGCCGCCGTCCGCGCCATCTTCGGCAGTTTTCGCACCGCAGGCCGGCTCCTGGGGCCTGGCTCGTCCGCCTTGGCCTCAACCTGCCTCTTCGCCCTGGGCGCGTGTGCCCTTCTTCACGCTCTCTTCCGACAATCGCCATCCGCCAGTCGAGGTCGGTGCTCATCAACTCCCGGCTCCATTTGCTGGCAAAGGTACGGCCTGCTCCGCAAGCGGCGGTCCTGCGACACGTCGGACTGTGAACCGCCTAGAAGAGCCGGCGACGCCGGATCCTCTGTCGCACCCTCGCTCCGACGGTCGGCTGCCTCTGGCCTCATGCCGCTTTGCTCGAGAGCTGCGCGTAGGGTCCCCCCTCCTTGCCAGGCCTGCCATGATGGGCCTGCTGCGCGGGTTCTACGCCACCGTCTGGCTCCCGTTGAGAGCCGCCATCCTGTCATTGCGCTGCTGTCGGCCCATGCGGCATGCACCAACGCTCGTCGTGTTCGCCGGCCACAGACGCCGGCCTGCCTGGCCCTACCCTGTTGAACACCTACCTATCATCGTGTCGCCATTGCCTCTGCGTCGTGGCGTGATCACCAACTCAATCATCGTGCTTGCAAGCCAGCCCACAGGCCATCGTGGGTGCGAGACCGGTATCGGCCCCCACCTCGATGATATCGCGTGGGTTGCAGGCCCGGTCGGTTCCTGACCCGGCGTGGCCAGGGCTCGACGGCATACATGGATGGCCTCTCGGAAGGTCGTCGCCGTTTTTGCCACACCTGCCAAGAGCGCGCTACCGCCCAGAGCGGGTGAAAGAGCAGAGGCCCGCTGGGCCGGCCGTCTATCTGTGGTCGTCGCCGCCGCCTCCTGGTCGTGCGCTAATCACGTCTCGCTTGCACCCGCGGTTGTCCAGCCTAGGAGTGCTCCCCTCGAGCTGTCCTCGCCGTCTCCCCCGCCTCTGGCCATGTGCACTCGAGCGACGGGGCCACACACCGCCTCTCAGGCTTGCTGCCCAACACCATCCCCCGCTGCCCTGCCTACGTCGCATGGCAAGTCCTGAGCAAGAGTTTTCTCCGTCCGCTCTTTGCTCGTCTGACAGGCAAGACGCCGCTGCTCCCTGTCGACTTCTCCGTCTCGCTACAAACTTTGGACACTGTCCGTATGCGCACAAACAGGCAAGGACAGCTTGCGTGCCTATGGATCGATCCTCTGCACGCCCTACCGCCAACAGCAGTACGCCAGTCACCTCCCCTGAACGCCACGCAAAGAAGGACCCTAGCCTGTGCTCGTGCCCTGTCCTGACTGACAGAACAAAATCCGGCCAGCAAGTCGACCGGCTAGCCGCAGAGCAGCAGCGACCCCCATCTCCTTCCACGACGACGATCTTCTCTCTGTTGATCGTACACGACCACGAAGACGACGACGACGACGACGAATACCGTACCTCACCGTTGTCCATTGACCATCGATACAGGTCTCGACTTTCTCGCCCGGCACGCTCGCATCACCATGCCGTCTTCGAATCCCGACCTCCATCACGTCAACCCGACCATGGAGACGTCGGCCCACCTGGGCGATGACGACCAGCAGCGGCTAGACACGGCGGCGAGCCACTCGTCGCGCTCCGATGACCTCGAAAAGGGCGGCCTCGAGGAGGCCAAGCCGGTCAAGGACAAGGACGACGTCGAGGCTCTCGGCGCCGCCCACGCCCACGTCAAGCGCGTCTCGGACGACTCTTCGTCGCTCGCCGCCGCCGTCCAAGACGTCCAGACCAGCGGCGAGATCAACTACCGCACCCTCTCGTGGCAGAAGGCGGCCGCCCTCTTGTTTGGCGAGTACGTCTGCCTCGCCATCCTCTCGTTCCCCTGGGCCTTTTCCATCCTCGGCATGGCCGGCGGCATCATGGCCACGCTCGGCGTCGGCGTCTGCGCGCTCTACACGGGCCTCACCTTGCACAAGTACTGCCTCAAGTACCCGCAGGCGCTCAACATCTGCGACATTGGCTACCAGATCTTTGGCAAGAGCCGCATCGCCTACGAGATCACCGCCCTCTCGCTCATCCTCAACAACGTCTTCATCCAGGGCCTGCACACCCTGACCGGCTCCCAGATCCTCAACACCCTCTCCGAGCACGGCACCTGCACCTTGGCCTTCTCCATCATCATCATGGTCGTCTGCCTCCTCCTCACCTTGCCCCGCAAGCTCGAGCAGGTGGCCATGATGGGCATCGTCTCGGCCATCTCGATGGCCATCAGCATCTTCCTGGTGCTCATCTTCACCGGCATCCAGGGCCGCAACCCGGCCGTGGCCGACGTCACCGCGCCCGTCCGTATCACGGCGTTCGCGCCCGAGGGCACCACGTTCGTCGACGGCTTCAACGCCTTCCTCAACATCGTCTTTACCTGGATCGGCCACATCTGCTACCCGACCTTTATCGCCGAGATGAAGGAGCCAAAGGACTTTGACAAGGCCCTCTACGCCGTCACTGCCATGGAGTTCATCGTCTTCACCCTGGGTAAGTGGCCGGCCGCACGGCCAAGCTGCTGCCGCCCGAGGCAAAGCGTGCTCACCTCCTTTCTCCCTTCGTCGCTGCCCTCCTTCTTCGCCGCATCACCTGCAGTCGGTATCGTCGCTTACTACTACACGGGCCAGTACACGACTGCGCCCGCCGTCGGCACGCTCAAGCCGATCTTCAAGAAGATTGCCTTCGCCTTTGTCCTGCCGACGACCATCATCATCGGCGTCATCTACGCCTCGGTGGTGGCCAAGTACCTCCATGCCAGGCTCTTCCTCGGCACCAAGCACTACAACAACAACACCACCGTCGGATGGATCGGGTGAGTGCACCGCTCTCGTCGCTTCTACCTTCGCCAGCCGAATCGGCACTGATCCCCCCGCGTCGATGCGACCGTCCTACCTCCCCCTCTTGACCCGGCTATAGATGGGTTGGCTGTGTCACCTTCACCTGGGTCCTTGGCTGGGTCATTGGCGAGGCGATCCCCTTCTTCTCGACGCTGCTCTCGCTGATGTCGGCGCTCTTGTGAGTCTTTGCCGCGGCAGGGCCCTATCCCTGCTCTGAACCCGACGCTGACTCCTCCGATGCCCTGCTCTGGTCCATCTCCCCCCGTACTCTCATCTCCGCAGCGACTCGTACATTGGCTACATCTTCTGGGCGGTGGCCTACGTCGAGCTGCACCGCGGCCACCTCTGGACCGGGCAACGCTGGACGAGGAAGCTCGAGACGGCCTTCCAGGGTTTCCTCATCATCGTCGGTCTCTTCATCTTCGGGCCGGGTCTCTACTCCTCGATCCAGGCCATCATCACCAACTACGACACCGGCAGCGTCAAGGCGCCCTTCACCTGCGTCGACAACGCGCTATAGATCCGCAGAGTTGCCTTGCTCGATCTGGTCTCCTCTGATTCCCTTGCCCTGTTCCCGTCCTGCTTCGTCTCTCTGCTGTACTGACCGCCTATCTATAGGGAGCGCTTCTGTGACATGCCATGGTTCCGACTGGAAGAGATGCGTGGTCGCCGGCCTGCTTCCATCTGGCATGTGCCAAGGTCATGGAGGTCGCCCGGAGCGCCGGTTGCGGGAGCGATTGGCCGCGGCGGTCTGGTGTGGAGGCGCAGGGAGCCAGACGCTTCCTCCTCACGCACGGCCGTTTCCTTCCTGCCGACCGACCAACACCACCCACCACGCGCCCTGCACTCACATCGGGGGGTATCCTCGCACCGCCAACCTTCCACCACCACGACCTCGCATGCGGCTGAGCACATTCAAGCAGACGTATAGAGCTCTTGCACGATCGCCACCCTCTCCCTTCCGACTGTTGCCAGCCCGACTACCTGCCAGACCGCCGCCGCTGCCGACCCTGGCCGTACGACCGATGTCCTCGTCCGCCGACGTACCCTCGGATGCGGACCTCCGCTCGCTACCGACGCGGGTCAAGAAGCAGTACGAAAAGGCCCTCGCCGCCGGCGACGCCTTCTTCTACCCTTCCGAGAAGATCGCCATCCTCCACGATGACCTTCCCTCTGGTCCGGACGGAACTGGCAAGGGGTCGGGCGTCGAGTGGCAGGTCCGCATCGTGCCCGCCCTCCTCAAAAAGCCCAAGGCCAACGGAGACCAGCCGCAGGGCGAGAAAGACTCGACGAAGGATGAGAAGGACCAGGGGGCAGAGGGGAAAGAGGCAAAGCCGCAGCAGAACAAGCAGGATGTCTTCGCACCGCCCTACGTACCCAACCTGCTCGTGCAAGAGTTTGGCGAGCATGTCGTCCTGGTGAGTGCTAGAAGGATCGATGTCGAGGGGCTGAGCGGCATCAAGAGGCTGACACCCCGCGGCTCTCTGTCTCCCGTCTGCTGTGGGACCGACACAGCTCAACAAGTTCTGCGTCGTACCTCAGCACTTCCTCATGGTCACAAGAGGTAGGCACGATGACCGCGGCATGGGAGCTCGAGAGGGCGCAGGACTGACGCCACCGTGCGATACCATTCTGCGCCGCCAGACTTTGAGACGCAGAACCTGCCACCGTCGCCGGCCACGCTGGCGCTGGCCTACCGCATCGTCACGGCCCACCGGTCGTCCGAGACCGAGCTGCTGGGCTTCTACAACTGCGGCCAGCTGAGCGGGGCGTCGCAGCCGCACCGACACCTGCAGTTTGTCCAGGCGCCGCCGCTCGACCTCAATAACGACGAGGGCGACAATGCGGACATCGAGGCCATTCTTGAGAGCGATCACAAGGTCCCCGTCGAGGCGCTGCTCGACAGGATCGAGCGGGACGGCAAGGAGCTCGGTGAGTGTGCTTGCGAGCGCGGGCGGAGGAGGAAAGCAGCGGCACATCCGACTGGGGCTGACCGGTCCGCGCCTCTACCTTCTCACCGTCTTCTCCATTACCCCCCGCCCTTCGCCATGCAGACCACGTCCATGCGCTTCCCCTCCCGTGGCAGCACTTTGTAGCGCTGCTGCAGCCGGAGAAGGAGGTGCGGTCGGACCCGGCCAAGCTGGAGCGCTACATCGGCAACAAGTTCATGGGCCTCCTCGACGCCCTCTTCCGCGCACGCACTTTTGCGGCGTCGGCGGCATCCGAGGGCGGTGCTGCGACCGCGCCGAGCGACGACGAGCTCAAGGCCATGCGCGGCCCGCCGAGCTTCAACATCCTCCTGACCAAGCGGGCGATGCACGTCATCCCCCGCAGCCGCGAAGACTTCGAGGATCTGCCGCGGGACTCGGAGGGCAAGGTGGGCAACCTCAGCATCAACTCGCTCGGTGAGTCCCTGTTGCGCCGAGGCGATCGTCGCCGGGCTGGTGGCCGGACCGTGCTGACATCCTGCTGCGTACGTTGCTCTCCCGTCGTAGGCTACGCGGGCTTCATGCTGACGAGGTCAAAGGAGGAGCAGGATGCGCTGAGCAGGCTCGACGGAGGCGTGCCGAAGGTGCTGGCCAAGACGGGCGTAGCCCCCGTCGCCGATGTGACGGTGTCGGATGGCCTTCCGACAAGCTCGTAACCGCACTCCGCGTGCCTCCCTGCCGAGGGACCGCGGCGAAGAACGGTGACAACGGAACGTCTCCGATGCGCCCCCTCGCTCCAGTCGATAGAGACATAGATCATCGGGACGTCCGCCTGCTGCTCCGCTGCGAGCGGCCAAGGCTGCCTCCGTCGCAGAGATAAAAGGAGAGGCCCGCCGGTGCAGAACCGGCTCGAGTCCCTCTGATCCTCCTTGCCCTTCCCGCCCCTCTGGCCCATCTTGACCGCCATGCTGGCCGCGAACAACGCCAGTGCATCGACGCTCGACACAGACGTCTTCGTCGATCCCGTCCTGCCCTTTACGACGGCAACGACGAGCTCCATGGCGCTCCTCTCTGCCTCTGCACTGCTGGCGACCATCGCACTCGTCTGTATCGTCCACGCTCGCACCCGCCGTCACAGAGGGCATCGCTCCATCTCAGCAGGCGGCGACGAAAGGCATGCCCCGCCCATCGAAACGATGAAAAAGGAGGGGGCCGACGAGCGCCGCTCGAGGACGCCACCTCGTCGCGTGGCCAAAGAAGGCTCGACGGGCGCAGCCTCGTCGTCGACGTTGCGCAGCGCCGTCACTCGCAGAGGCCCCGGCGCTGTCCTGCCGCGGGGACCACCTACCGAGGCGCTGCTCGACTTCTTTGCGCCCACGCGGTCCATCTGGCCCAGCTACTACATTCGGGCCGCTCGCGATGCGGAGATCCGAGCACGTCGCGCCGTCGCCGGGCAGGTGCCCTCAGACACGACGGCGACGGCCGCCGCTGCATGGCCCAGCATCTCAGTGACACCGCCTGCGATGGGGCGTATCGACCGTTCCACCGCGCTCGTCCTCGCGTCGCCGACAATGTCGAGCCAGTCGCACGCGGATCTACTGAGCGCGCGAGTGCGTGCCTTGCTGGCACAGATCCCGTCGACGGATTGCAGCGACGCCTCTGACGACGAAGAGGGCGGTGACAGTGTCGTGGCGCGTCGACAGCAGCTTGGAGGCACGGTCACAATCAGCCCCGTCGGCGCAGGCCCAATCTTGCGCACGCCGACAGCGTCGCCGCACCCGCACCCGCACTCGCAGGCCAGCGAGCCCGTCTGCCACCCCATCTTCATCTCCATCGAGCAGCTCGAGGAGGACTTCCGCCACGGCAGGATCGAGGCTGTAGACCCGACCTGGAGGCTCGCGGATCTGGTGCAGGCTATGGCGAGCTCGTCATCGCCTTGCCGGTCCACTCCCGCTCTCTCCTGGCCACACGCCAGCGGGATGGTCAAGGACGAGGACGCAGCCACCCACCAGAACCAGTCCTTCGTGACGGCAAGGCCCCAATGGTGCGTCCATCTGGTGAATGCGCACTGAACGCGCGCGCTCCTGCCTCGCGCAAGCTGTCGTCGCCATCGCCGTCATCGTCGTCGGTCGGGAAACAAGTGTATTGCCGATCGGAGACCATGCTGCGGCCGCAAGTCTTCGAACAGGCAGCATAAGGGCGGTGAACGTCTACTTTGTTGTCGCCGGGAGGACCTCGTTCTTGGCTTCGGCCGCCTTGTCCGCGATCGTGGCCTGGACGGGGTGCTTGCGTCGGTAGCTGCAGAGGGCCGGTCGAAAGGACAAGGTCGTAGGGGTCAGAGAAGGATCAGCGGGGAGGCCCAGCAGGTTGAGCAGCGGCGCAAGACGGGGCAAGCTGCTGGCTGGCTGGCGAGCGACTCACTCCCAGATGCGGTAGAGCTGTGCGGTGCCGCTCATGCCGACAAAGAAGTTGACGGCGGCGAGCGAGTAGTTGATGGGCGTAATGACGAGCGAGTACCTGCGGGGGTGGTGGTGGAGGATGAGGAGGTGCGCCATCGAGCGGAGCGGGGATGGATGAGCCACGGTCCCTTTTCGAGACGACTCGAAACGCAGGAAGTGCGGCGTGGACCTGACTCACCGGACCCAGATGAAACCGGTAGCGGCGAGGGCGGCGTTTTGGGAGACGGAGAGTTTATCGGCGGGTCTCGAGAGGTCCTTGAGTCCTGCTGCGACGAGGCACCACTTCATCAGCGGGGCCCAGAAGAAGACTGTTCGAGGATGAGGGGGCGAGGAGCGGACGAGGGCAGGAGGGCGTGAGCGGGTGGACGGGGGAAGGTGGCACAGCAGCAGGCATCGTCATGGCGGAATGGGACGGCAACGGACCAGTCTTTGGACCAGCGGGGTGGTTCATAAAGGCCGAGAACTTGGATCCTCCCGCTGCTGATGCCATCTTGGATACGTCTTTGCTGTGGTGCTGCGTGGGGCGAGTTGTGAAGGAGGGGTGGAGATGCGGTGCGAGGACGATGGGCGATGGTGGTGATGATGGTGGGGCCGAGTCCTAGGCCTACCTCGCGCCTCTGATGTGGTGCAGTGCCTCTGCCCGGCGCGAAGGTTTTGGGTTGGGGGCGCGAGCCAGGCAGCGGGCGAGATGGGGTTGGGTGCGTGGGGTGGGGGAGAGGGGGAATCGGGGAGAACGGGGCTTTTCGGTTGGTCCGGATCGGACAGAGCCCGATTCTACTTCGGGATCGGGAAGGACGCGGGCCTCGCTCTCGCACTTTCACAGCGGCAATGGTGGTGATACACGAGATCGAGCGCACGGGGTCGAATACAGGCAAGCGAAGAGAGCTGGGGGTTACGGGGCCAGTAGCAGCGGGACAGCTCCGCCGGCGCCCGCAGGGGAGATGTGGGCAGCGGTCACTGCGCACCCCTCGAAGGCGAAGGCGCTCGGACGGCCTGGATGATTTTGAGCTTGTGCGCTTTTGGTATCACTGTCGCGAGGGGGCGATATCGGACACGGCCCGAGCTCCGAACCGTCAGCGGGACGGGCCGAAGAATCCCATGCTCTGGCCGTCGTTTTCAGGCACTCACTGTCTCGGAGGTACTCGAGGTGCTTGGCGTGCAGGGCGGCCTGCTGCTTGACGCCTTCGCCGCTCCACTGCCGCCGGCTGGCGCTGTGGCCAAAGACGACGGTACGATCTGGCAGCGACTCGAACTTGGCCTCGTCTGCGGAAGCAGCGCTGGCCTGCCTTGCTTCTTCGCCATCTTCGTCCTTAGCCGCTGTTGCCTTGCCACCTGGCTCCCCGTCGCCGTGCTCCTGGTCGTCGTCGTCGTCGTCGTCGCCAAAAAGGTCCTCGATGTTGCGTGGCCACAGCGCGGTGGGAACGACGCTGCAGCCGGCTCCGATGTTGCAGTAGGAGCCGACGCGGATCGTCGAGGCCACCTTGCAGCGCACCTGGAAGGTGTTGGAGGATCCGACGCCGGCCGCCTCGATGCCTGATCGGCGCGCAAAGAGCGAGCGGAACGAGTTGGCGCCAACGCAAGGTGTCAGCAAGAGCGACGGCGCAGTCCGGCGACGAACGGTACCGGGAGCAAGAGTTGACTCACGGCTGCCCACTTCGAAGAGGTTGTCGTCACCTATCTGCATCGGCTCGGGCCGCCTGCGATCATGGGCAGCCGGAGCAGACGTGGCAACGGTACGTCAGCCTCTGTTTCCACACCGACGCCACAGGTTTCGGATGAGGGCCGGCGCGAACGCACCGATTGACGATGGCGGCCATCTCCTCGATGATGCAGTTGGAGCCGATCGAGATGGGACCCTGCTGAGCGTAGACGACGGCCCGGGGATGGATGACGGTGCCTGTTGGAACAAAGAGGGCAGCGGCGAGGATGCGGCCGGGTTCAGCAAGGTGCCAACTGTTTGCGGCAAGGACGAGGTAGACGCACCGCTTCCAATGCTGATCTCGCCGCGGAGCTCGGCGTCCTGGGCGATGACGACGCGCGAGCCGACCGTCAGCCGGTCCCTGCGGTCAATTGCGATAGAGTAGAGTCCGGAAGAGGACGACGGGGTCAGTTGGACACAAACGCTGCGCTGGCCAAGTCGCCTCTCGGGATTGCCGCACCTTGGCGGTGCCATATCGTTGGGCCGCGATGGGCACGACGCGCGGCCCTCGGACCTCGCTATCTGGACGATGGCAGGCCGTCGCCTAGGCTTTGAAGCGGGTGATCCGAAGGGGTGGCGTTGGCTCGTTGAGCGTGCAAAGGCAGGCTTGACGAAAGGCGTCGGTCGGGACGTACGAGGTGGTGGATTGGGTCGGCCGTCGGAAGAGGCTGGGAGAAGAACCCTGGATTCGGATTTTTGGCAGGTGGCCTGAGCGAGAGCCAGCAGCCGGCCTGGCCTAGCTGCCGCTCTATTTCTGCATGCACGCCCATCACTCGGGTCCCACGCTGTGCGAGGTCAAAGGGCGGGTCTCCACCCGCTTTCGGTCGGTGGGCCCGGGTCCCTGAGCGATGGGGGGGACACCAACTATCCGCTCACGCTCGAGCGCAAGATGGCCAGGCGGTGTTGATGTGTGAGCGGGTGGCGCTTGAGCGACGGCAGGCGCAGAGGGTTGGTAACATCCAGTCCACTTGAGACGTCGGGCGAAGGTCGGGGCCCGGCCACCGGAAGCGGCGAAGGTGGCAGCGGCGGCGGCGGCGGCGGCAGGGCGACCAGCGAACAGGCCCGGACGTGGCAGGGGCCGCCTTGCTGCTTGCTCTTTTTTCGCTCGCGCTCGCCCTTCCAAAGTCCGCCCGGCGAGTTGGACGCCGCCATCCGCTGCGCCGGCCCCTGTCGAGGCAAAAGACCACCAGCAGGCAGGCCCACGAAACGGAGGTTCCGACGACGATGCCATCCGACCTGCCTCTGGATATTGAGCCTGACCACCGTGGCCTGGCCAGGCCGAAGTGTACGGAGATGGGGCGACTCGCGTGCTGCCCTGGTGCGTGCGTGCGTGCGTGCGTGCGTGCGTGCGTGCGTGCGTTGGTGCGGGCGTGTGGCTTGAGCGTTTGAGCTTGGGCTCGGGCTTGGACCCCGTCTGAGCCTCTCTCTCTCTGTGGGCCAGGGTCAGAGGCAGGGGCGGGCAAGCCAAGGCCAGGGTGCTGCCGTGCGCGGCTCGGGTTGCTCGAGATGCACTCGCCCCGCCGCGCTTCCATGGCCGCCGGGGTCCTCCTCGCCCTGTCTGATCTGCCTGCCTGCCCGGCTTCTTGTCCTGCTTCCATACCCGTCCCACCCCTCCTGCTTCCGTTTCCTTCTTCTTCTTCTTCCACCACCACCACCACCAACACCATCGCTCGCCGCCGTCCTCGCCTTCTTGTCACTCCCATCGCAAGCGGCCTCTGTCCACCATCGACCTTTCCTTGGCCGCCGTCGTCTCCTTTCTCTCCTTCTCGTCACCTTTTACCGATACCTTTGCGCCTCCGCAGCCCATACCGCCCCTCTCCGCTCTTTGACGAAAGCTCTGTTGCTCAACCAAACGTTCCCGCCGATTCCGCTCGACATCACCGCCTCCCTCGCAACGGCCACCGTACCCCTTCGACGCCTGCTCGCACCGCACCGCAGCCACCTGTCCCAACCATGTCTTCCACGCAGGCGGCTCAGCAGGCCGCGCAACAGGCCTCGTTCCGCGTAGGAGAGACGTACAAGATCGTCGACGTCGTCGGAGAGGGCGCCTACGGTGTCGTGTGGTGAGCAGGCGGCAGGGTCGGAGCATCGCAATAGCCTGCTGTCGGTAGGCTGATCCCATTCTCTTTCCTCTGGTCCCTGCGTCCATGCTGCCGCCCAGCTCTGCTATCCACGTCCCCTCGAGCTCCCGCGTGGCCATCAAGAAGATCACGCCCTTCGATCACAGCATGTTCTGCCTCCGCACCCTCCGCGAGATCAAGCTGCTCCGCCACTTCAATCACGAAAACATCATCTCCATCCTCGACATTGTCAAGCCCAGCGACTACGACAGCTTCCAGGAGGTCTACCTGATCCAGGTGCGTGGCGCCCGCATCTCTGTCCCTCGGCGGCTCGGGCTGACGGTGGTAGGGAGCGATTTCGAGACTGACTCTGGCCTCCCTGACCGCACCGCAGGAGCTCATGGAGACGGATATGCACCGCGTCATCCGGACCCAGGAGCTCTCCGACGACCACTGCCAGTACTTCATCTACCAGACGCTGCGCGGTCTCAAGGCGCTCCACTCGGCGCAGGTGCTCCACCGCGACCTCAAGCCCTCGAACCTCTTGCTCAACGCAAACTGCGACCTGAAGATCTGCGACTTTGGCCTCGCCAGGAGCGCAAACCAGCCAGAGGCAGAGGGGACGGGCTTCATGACGGAGTACGTCGCAACGCGGTGGTACCGTGCACCCGAGATCATGCTCACGTGAGTGGCAGCAGGGTGGCGAGGAGCGCTTCAAGGCGCCGAGCGAGCGGTGCGGACTCAGATCTGACACCCCCAGCGTCTCTACTGCCCGTGGCCTCACGCCGCCGCTCCCGCAGGTTCAAGGAGTACACAAAGGCAATCGACGTGTGGTCCGTCGGCTGCATCCTGGCCGAGATGCTGTCGGGCAAGCCGCTCTTCCCCGGCAGAGATTGTGAGTGGCAGAAGACGCGTCTCGGGCGCTCTACAAGGCGAGGTCCGAGCAGACCGCTGATTCTTCGCCGCACCGTGCGTCCGTCGCCGCTGTTGCTCCCTGCCCTTCCCTGCCATGCCTCTTGCAGACCACCACCAGCTGTCGCTCACCCTCGAGATCCTCGGCACACCGTCGCTCGACGATTTCTACGCCATCACCTCGACGCGGTCGCGCGACTACATCCGCGCGCTGCCGTTCCGCAAGCGCAAGAACTTTTCCCAGATGTTTCCCAACGCCAACCCGCTGGCCATCGACCTGATGGAGCGCTGCCTCACCTTCAGCCCGCGCAAGCGCATCACGGTCGAGGAGGCGCTGGCCCACCCGTACCTCGAGCCGTACCACGACCCCGAGGACGAGCCGACGGCCGAGCCCCTCGATCCGAGCTTCTTCGACTTTGACTACTGCAAGGAGCAGCTCAGCCGGTCCGAGCTCAAGCGCCTCATCTACAACGAGATCATGACCTGAAGGCGGCGGCCCGCTTGCTCGTCGCCGTCCGCTCGACGCACCCATCAACCTACACCTCGACCTACCCGTACACAAACACCCTCTCTCTCCCGTCCAGGTATCTGCTCACGTCACCTATAGTCGTTCTCTTTCCTCGTATCTATCTCCGTCGCTCCTTCATTCTTCGGGTCCAGCGGACATTGCGACAAGCCCCCTGGAAGCGCCACAGTCACAGCGGCGCCGACATTCGATCGGTTTTGGAGATTTCGATTGGGCGTCATAGCGGCGGCCTCACTCGACATTCGATGGGACCGGGACCGAAGGCTAGATGCCTACTTGAGAAGGCCGAGGAGGCCCGAGAGGCCGCCCGAGTTGGCACCGCCGACGGTCGACGAGGACCCGCCCTTGTTGAGCAGGCTCATTGCCATCTTGGCTGCCTGGTTGACGGCGTCCTGCTTGTCGCCCGAGGCGTTGCCCTCGTTCTGCTTCTTCTCAAACATCTGCCGAGGGAGGGCGAGCAAGGCGGCCAGAGGGAAAGCAGGAAAGAGGCCATCAGCATCGTAGTTCCGAGACAGGGACGAGGGCCAGGCCTCACGGACGACGCACCTGGACGGCCTGGGACATGGCGACGCCGAGCAGCTTCGACTTCATGTCGCCGCCGGCGGCTCCTCCGCCTCCGCCTCCGCCCATGACGGCCTTGATGGCGGCGAGACTGCGGGGTGTCGGAACGGCACGAGAACGAGATGCTCGAGATCGGTCAGCGCGGTCGTTGCGAGCCAGAGTCCCCTCAGTCTGTCTGCGGTCACTCACGCGGCGGCGTTGCCGATGTCGTTGGAGCTCGACGACTCGTTCGAGTTTTGGACCTTGTTGTGGTTCTGCATCAGCTTCTGCTCATCGACGTCGTCGTCGTTGCCGTGGCCACCCGAGTTGTTCTTGAGGAAGCTGGCGGCTGACCAGGTTCGGCGTGGGAGATGAGGGCCAGTCGAACATCGCGAGCCGTCAGTTATGGGGCGAAGCTGACGACGGAGCGATGCGCAACGAGGGTGGCAACCTACCAGCAGAGAAGAGGCTCGAGTTCTGGCCGCCACCGCCTCCGCCGCCGTGGCTGTTGGCGTGGTTGACGACCTCGTTCTCGTCAAAGTCGTCGTAACGGCCACCGCCCGAGCCGTGGTTTCCGCCACCACCACCACCGCTGCCACCGCCATAGCCGCCGCCGCCGCTGCCGCCCTCGCATCGGCCGCCGCTGCCACCACCGCTCTCGTATCGGCCTCCGCTGTTGCCTCCGCCGTGGCCTCCGCCTCCTCCTCCACCGCCGCCGCCGCTCTCGTAGCGGCCACCCGAGGGGCGATCGTTGTCGTAGTTGTTGCCTCCATAGCCACCGCCTCCCTCGTAGCGACCACCCGAAGGTCGGTCGTTGTCGTAGTTGCTTCCTCCGTATCCTCCACCGCCGCTGCCGCTGCCGTACGAGTCGCCGTCGTTGCGGCGTCCTCCGCCGCCATACTGGTTGCTGGACGAGTCGTTGTATCCTCCTCCTCCGCCGCCGCTGCCGTATTCGCCTCCGCCACCGTGTCGGCGGTCGCCGTACTCTTCCTGGCGCCTATCGCCCCCGCCGCCATAGCCTCCGTCGTTGCGACCGCCGTAGCCTTCCTCATTGCGGCCGCCATAGCCTCCTCCACCTCCCTGACCGCCGCCTCCGTAGCCCTGGGAGCCCTGGTTCTGGCGTCGGTCGTCGTCGTAGTTGTTGCCTCCGTACATGATTTTGCTGTGCGCGATTGTCGTGGGTTTGATTGGGGTCGGTTGTGCGGGTTTCGTTGAGCTGGTGAGACGAGAATGGAGATGGGTGGCAAAGAGGCCGACGTGGGCAGTCGGGTTTATATGGGCGGCCCGTAGGGACACAGGAGCACAGCCCGGGAGGCAACGACGCTCGGACCAAGGCAAGGGCCAACGTCATCGAGCTCGCAGCAAGACGCCGTTGGTCGTGCAGCGGCAACGGGCAGCGGCAGCGGCAGCGGCAGCGTCTGCTCGGCTCTCGGCTTTGGAGGCTGCCCGCCTCCACCTGCTGCTGCGTCTCGCCGGCAGCTGCGTCGACCCACTGAAGAATCAGTTTTTCAGAGCTCTGTCGCGGGCGGCCAACCCGCGACGCGCGCCAGCAGACGCCAGGCCGGGCCAGCCGAGGCCTGGAAAGTGTTGGTCTCTCGGCCATGCTCCTAGATCCTTTCTCCTCCTCGCCACCATCCCCGCCCCCACAGACCACACATCGACATCCAGTTCTGCTTGAATCGCCGAGCGATGGCCGCATCGGATCGCAGGGGCGCAGCAGCCTCACGCCCGGGCCCATCGTCGGCGGCACCCTCGGCCCCCAGACAAACCCGCCAGTCGATCAAAAGGGCGCAACAGGACCGACTCCTCGAACGCCTTATCGACACCTTCCATGACCAGCCCCTCGCCGACCGCACCGCTTTGAAAAAGAACCTCAACGGCCACGTATGGTCGCCCGCAGATAGCTGGGAGGTGGACCGCCACATCGACGGGTGAGCATCCCTCTTCCTCTGCAGTCCTCGCTATCGCCCCCCTCGCTGACCTCTGCTCTCTGCTCTCTGCCGGACCGCCCCGCGTCGCCGCCGATTCGACAGTCTCTCCCGACGACACGCAATCGACCTCTCCTACGAGCTCTCAACAGCACTCAGAAGGACCTTTCGCCAGCTCAAGCTTAGCGCCAAGCAGTCGGTCGACCTCACACAAAAGGCCCGCCAGCTCCGCCTCCTCCGCCAGAGGGAAGACCAGCGCCTACTCGAAAACAGCTCCGGCAGTCGTCCCTCGGCCGTGTCCAGGGGCAAGCGCAGAGACGACAGCGACGATCCGCTCCTCGACGATCCCAGCATCACCCCAGACAATGTCGCCGACGTCGTCCAGCTCCTCATCAGCCTCTCGCGCCCCGCCAACGTCACCACCTCGACCTACGCACACCTCCTCCTCGACCCGGATCGACCCAGGAAGACGACCTACCTCGATCCAAAGCAGAAGCAGGCGGTAGAACGCGCAGAGTGGAGCAGGATCCTGCTCGAGGAGCCGCTCGACGGAGACGAATGGCGGTCCGGCTCCTCGGACACTTCGCATCTTTCCGACTGGTCCGAGTCGAGCCGCGGCCAAGGCACCCGCGCCTCGATCAGCGACGACGATGACGACAGGTATGGCGGCGTGGAGAGTCTCGGCGGCCACCGACCTCTCGACGCTGCTCGGGCCGGGTGGGCCGGGGCAGCTCACGGAAGCCAAAGCTCGACAGGCGACGAGGCCGGGCCCGACTGGCAGCTCATGCACGACCACCGCGCTCGAGCGCTCGACGAGGTGGGCTTGCACCGCGACCAGGTCATGGTAGCCGCAGCGCGCAGCATCGAGGAGTTGCCCGATATCCTCCTCGTGCGAGAGGCCGTGCTGGCCATGCAGGGCTACGGCGGCCTCATCTTCAGCCTCGCATCCCCGAGCGAGATGCGCATCAGGCCGTCCCTGCTGCAGGCGTCCTCGAACGGCGAGACGACAAAGGTGCGACAGCTTCGGACCCTCGCCACGGCGGCTTCGACGCTGCTGCAGCTGCAGACCTTCAGCGGGACCTACGCCTCGGGCACGACCGCAGGGCCACCCTCGACTGACGATCGCCGCATCAGCATCTCGCTGCAGGCCTTTGCCGACCAGGTGGCCCGGATCCTCGAGCGAGCCCGAGCCTTCTTCGCCGTCTACGACTCCGACCTTGCCGCGGGCCTTACAGGCAACACGAGCTCGCTCCAGGTCCACAGCCGCGACGCCACCCTGACGGCGCTGCTCGCCGACGTCGATCGCGTGACCTACACCCTTCGCTGCCTGGCCGAGCTGCTTTCGGATCTCGGCCTGCTAGACCGGCTCGACCAAGGGCATGGCATCGACTCCGACTGTGCGCTGCTCAACGGACTGCAGGCGCTGCTCTCCTTTGACCTTGCCGGCGGTGGCGACGGGCAAAGCAGATCCGTCGCGCTGCGCCGCGACCTCTCCCAATGCTTTGTCGCCATGGCCCAGCCGTGGTGGCGCCAGGTCTGCCAGCACATCCGAGAAGGCGTCAGCTTCGGCCTGGCAAGATCCTCGGACGGCGATCTAATCGGGCAAGCCGATGCGACGGGGTTGTTCGAGCGGGACGCGCGCACCAGCCCGCTCGATGCGCGCTTCTGGCAGCAGGGATGGCGCGTCCGAGGCCAACGCGAAGACGACCTCGGCGAGGCGATACCGGCCTTCTTGGCGCCGCTCGCACTGGAGCTCCTCGACGGGAGCAAGAGCGTCGGCCTCCTCCGCGCCCTGGGTTCCGACGTTGGCGTCTCGCTGCAGCCGTGCGAGGACCTCCTCACGGTGCTCGGAGTGCGAACAGGCGCGGCGGCTGACGGCGAACCTCTCGGCGGGGAGGAGGACGACAACGACGACGACGCGGCGAACAGCGTCGAGGCAGGCGAGGAACCGATCACACCCGTCGAAAGCATCGCGATAAGACGGCTGGGTCAAGCCGAATCCGCGGCAATCGTCTCGGCCGCGCTGTTCAAAGGCGCAAGGGCGGCGGGGTCCTCCAACATCGCTGGTGCAGGGCCAGCTGCCCGGCTCGAAACCTTCCATCGACAAAGCTCCACTGTGAGGGAGGCCGGCACCAGAGACGGCGACGATGGCGAGGCGCTGGCACGGGCGCTTCTCAAGCCGCACCTTGGCAAGACGCTCTCGCAGCATCTCCAGCCAATGCTCACCCTGGTGCGCCGGCGACTGCACGCTGCTCTCGTGTCGAGCTGGTACGAGGACGGCTGCGACCTCTTTGCGCACCTCGCGGCCATCCAGGGCTTCTACCTCATGCTGCGAGGCGTCGAGATGTCAGAGTGGTGCGACCTCGTCTTTGACAGGCTCGACGCCGGCGGCCGCCTCGACGCACACTTTCTCGACGCTAGCTTTCGCGATGCCATCGGATCCGGCAGTCTCGATGGTGCCGATGGCGCGAACGCCTGGATCGACTCTGGATCAGTGCGCTTCCAGGTCCGCGACACTGCTACTCTGCGACGCCTCGGTGCGAGCCCGCAGTCGCATGGCGTGGGCCTGCTCGCCGGCATCGGCGTGGCGTACCAGGTGCCGTGGCCTGCCAGCTTCTGCTTTACGCCGGCGGCCATGTCGGCCTACCAGGACGTGTTCACGCTGCTTCTCCAGGTGCAGCGAGCGCGCAAGTCCATGGCGGGCCTGCTCAAGGCCTCGCACAAGCACCAGCGGGTGCCCAGCCTGCGGCGTTTCTGGGGCCTGAGGAGGCGGATCGACTGGCTGGTGCGCGTCGTCGGCGAGTACTTGATCAGAGACGTGAGTGTCGGCGACGTGCCGAAGCAGAAGGCGCGGGAAGCGGTGGGGCTGTCACGATCGGTCTGAAGTTGACGCTGCTCTGTCTTGTCCACCCTCGCTCCCCTGCAGGTCATCGAGTCGTCGGCGAGTCAGCTTCGGGCCAGCATGGACGAGCTGATCACATTCGACTCGCTCATCGAGTGCCACGGGCGGGCCATGGAGCGGGTGCGGTACCTGTGCTTCCTGCAGCCAGGCCAGGCGACGGTGAGGGGCAGCATCCTCGAGGCGCTGGACCTGGCCATTGACGTCAGCCGGGCGTATGCGACGACGTTTGACGAGGACGCCGCTCGTCCGGACGAGGTGCGGCAGCGGGACCGCGAACGAGCACAGCGGCGGCGCAAGGCTCGGCGTGCCAATGGCAAGGCCAGGCGCGGACGCGCAGGGGATGTGTCGGACGACGAGGACGATGAAGACGAGGCGGGGGCAGGGGCAGAGGAGGCAAAGGGTGGGGATGCCGGCAGCCGGGGGGGTGCGGCGGCCGGTGTCGCAGGTGGCCGGCATGGCGGCGATCAGAGCTCGTCGTCGCTCTCGTCGTCGACGCTCGAGGACACGTCGCAGAGCTGGATCGACGACGACGTCGATGTTGGGACGCAGCGGCGGAGCTTTGGGCGGCGGGTCGACTCGTTTGGCGAGACGCTGCGGCAGGTGCTGGTGCGGATCAAGGCGGGCGTCGACGAGCAGGTGGGACGGCTGGCTTTTGATGTGGCGGCGCGCAGCCGCGAGGGGACGACGGCCGACGAGGCCATCCGCGCCATGCACGAGGAGCGAGAGCGCTTCCAGGCGCTGCTGTATGCGCTCGATGAGGGGCGCTAGTTAGTAGCAGTTGTGGGCGTGCGCTCAAGTCGTGCGCGGGCTTCGTTGTCATCAGAGAGAAAGAAAGAGAGGGAGAGAGGCAGCACAGCGTCTGGGTCGATCCATTCCCGCTGCGCAGCGGAAGGGGCCGTCCGACGAAAGGCCCAAGCAAGCAAGCTGTGCGCCACGCGCAGACGCGGCGCGCTCCAGCTGCGAGTCAGAAGAGAGAGAGAGAGCCGGTGGGCCCCACTGGGCTGAGCTGGCGGCGGCAGCGCACAGGCCCAGCTAGCCTGACCCTAACTTACCTGCCTGCCTGTCTGCGCAGCGCCGGGATTTTTCGAGGCGCGGGTCCAGCAGCCAAAGCAGCCAGCAGCCAGCAGCCAGGCAAGGCAGCAGGCAGACAGGCCCCAGCGTAGGCCAGGCAGGCTGGCAGGAGCGCGGGCGCGGGCGCGGGCGCCGCCTCAGCCAACACCACCGTGCCGTACCGCCGAGCGGCGCCTCATCTCTCTCTGACCTCTTGAGCCAACCTAGCCTACCTCCTTGCCTGCCTGCTTGCTTCGCCATTCCGGGGCGTCGTCGAACCTTCATTTCTGCCTCATACCCACATCGCACCTCAGCCCGGTCGCCATCTCTTGCCCTCCCATCATCCTCTTGCGCGTGCCGCCCGAGGACCCATCGTCTCGTCCTCCAACTGCAAAGACCGACAGCGCCCTTGACTCGCCCATCGCCTCCTCCGTCTCGCCAGCTAGCCAGCAAGCCCATCAGTCGGTCCACACGACTACCACAGCATCCTCCCTAGCTACTCTGCCACCGGTACGCGACACACAACCCTCGGCCACCACCACCACCACCACTAGCCCCGGCCTCGTCGGCACGTCCTCCGAGCGCGGTGGGCATCGCCGCGACGCCGCACCCGCCCCGCGCCAAGCTGAACATCATCCGCGAGTGGATCGGCCCACGTCACCACACCAGGGACGCCAACGATGTAGCATCCGAGTCGTCCACCTACCACTCCCTCTCTCCCAACTCGTTTTCCGCCGCCGATGGAGCGGGCGGCGGCAGCACCACCACCAACACCAGCACCAGCACCATCGGCAGCACCAACCTTGGCGCCCTGCCGCCCCGGTCCATGCCCGACTCCGGCAGCTACTTTGACCATACCGCCTTTCCACCACCCGGCAGCCTCAGCTACGGCCACGCTTTTCCGCCAGGCGCCAACGGCCACGGCAACGGCCACGACATCGTCGCCGCCGGCAACGGACCGTACGCCAGCCTACCTCCGCTGGATGCTGCCGCAAGTAACCTTCCAGCACCTGTCGGCTCTGCCCCGGCTCCAACCTCAGAACTAGCCCAGCCCAGCAAGCCAAAGCCAAAGGCCAGCGCGAGGCGAGCCGCGATGGCAGACGGTGACGTCCAGGCCGGGCTTAGAGGCAGCCCAAGGAAGCGCAAGCGGACCGAGGGCCCTGCATCGCAGGCGGAAGGGAGCGTGGCCTCAAACGCAGCATCCGTCGCTGGCGATGGTGGGAGCGGAACGGTCGCTGCGCCGGTCCTTGTGCCGGCGTCTGGTGCTGCTACGACTGCTGCCGCCGGCCCTTCGAAGCCGACCGCACCGCAGGCACAGGTCGTCCGAGTGAGGCGGGAGGCGGCAAAGGCGGGGACACAGAACGGCGGAAGCCCGCTCAAGCGCTCCCGCTCAAAGGCAGGCTCGCAGGCCGCCCAGTCCCGGTCGGCCAAGGCCGCATCCTCTTCCGCCGCCGCTTCAAAGGGCCGCGCCGTGCCCAGCCCGCTCTGCGCCTTCTGTCAGGGTTCACGCGAACGCTGTGCCAAGACGGGCGGGCCCGAGGTCCTCATCAGCTGCACCGACTGCGGCAGCAGCGGCCACCCGACCTGCCTCGAGTGGGACGCGAGCGATCGCGGCAAGCTCGACATCGTCCAGTCCTACGCCTGGCGCTGCCTCGACTGCAAGACGTGCGAGCGCTGCCACCACGACGGCTCCGACATCATGTTTTGCGATCGCTGCGACCGCGGCTGGCACCTCGCCTGCCTCGATCCCCCACTCGCCGAGGTGCCCGACGGCATGTGGAGCTGTCCCACCTGCCAAGCGGGCGCCACCTCGGGGTCCTCGTCGGCACCCCCAGCAGCAGCAGCAGCGACAACAGCAGCAGCGGCGACGGCGGCGACGGCGGCGCCATCACTCCCGGCGTCTGCGTCGACTCCTTCGTCCGATCCAATACGACTGCCGTCATCGCCGCGAAAGAACGGCCGTGTGCTCACCGTCAAGGGCCAAGGGCAGACGTCGGCGGCCACGGCCGGATCCGATACCTCGCCTCGGCCCAAGCCGGCCGGCTTTACCGTCAAGCTGAAGCTAGGGAAGCGAGCGATCGGAGAGATCTCGATGGCCAGTCCGCGCCCTACGGGTGTGGCCTCGTCAAAGCATCGCAGGACGCCGTCTGCGGGCGCAAAGGCAGGCGGCAAGGGTGCTGCGAGGGGAGGCAAAGGCGGACAGGCGAGCGACGCCAAGGCGCCGTCCGCGGATGGCACCCGCCAGGACGGAGTAGCAGGGCTGGACGCAGCGCAGCGGGCAACAGAAGCAGGGGCAGGGGACCCAGGTGCGCCGGATGCACAGGCCGACCCGCAGACAGAGGGTGCAGGCGACGGCTTGGCAGACGAAAACGCGGATGCCGAGGCGGACGAGGAATCAGAAGAAGAGGTCCCGTTCGGGGGCGTCATCACGGGCGAGGACGCCGACACGTCAAAGACGAAGCCCACGCCGGCGGACATTGAGCGCTTCGAGCAGAGCAAGCGCTCCGCCGAGGGCAAGCTGGGAGGGGCTGTCGCCAGCCTGTCGGGCAGCGGAGCCGCCATCGGAAGGCACGCTCGACGCCCGTCCCTCAACCGGTCTACGCTGGCTTCGCCAGGCCCTTCGAGCCTGCCGTTGCCGGGCCAGGCCGGGCTCGAGACGCCTGCGCGCAGTCTCGGCCAGGGCAGCCAGCCGGCGGGCAACACCACTACTGTCTCTGGCGCCGTCTCCGCCTCCGCCCCTGCCGCTGCAGGTGCCACGCCCTCGGCGGCCCTCGAGCCGGTGACGGCGGCCAGCAGCGCGCAGACGGGCACGGCGACGCCGATCAAGTGCATCCGCTTTGGCGAGTACGACATCGACACGTGGTACCAAGCGCCGTACCCGGAAGAGTACAGCATGGTGCCGGACGGGCGGCTGTGGATCTGCGAGTTCTGCCTCAAGTACATGAAGAGCCGGTTCATGGCGAGCCGGCACCAGATGAAGTGCAAGATGCGCCACCCGCCCGGCGACGAAATCTACCGCGACGGCAACATTTCGATCTTTGAGGTCGACGGGCGCAAGAACAAGATCTTCTGCCAGAACCTCTGCCTGCTGGCCAAGATGTTTCTCGACCACAAGACGCTCTACTACGACGTCGAGCCCTTCCTCTTCTACGTCGTCACCGAGGTCGACGAGCTGGGCGCGCACTTTGTCGGCTACTTTAGCAAGGAGAAGCGCAGCCCGATGAACTACAACGTGTCGTGCATCATGACGCTGCCCATCCGCCAGCGCCGCGGCTGGGGCAACTACCTGATCGACATCAGCTACCTCCTCTCGAAGAAGGAGGGGCGCGTCGGCTCGCCAGAGAAGCCGCTGTCGGACCTGGGCCTGCTCAGCTACCGCAACTACTGGACGCTGGCCGTCTTCTACTACCTGCGCACCGCGCCGGACCACGTCACCATGGACGACATCAGCGCGGCCACGGCCATGACGCTCGACGACGTGTTTTACGTGCTGCGCGAGCAGGACATGCTCTCGCTCGCCGGGAGCGCGTCGGGCAAGATGCGTACGCCCGCGACGACAAAGTACCGCGGTGGCCGCGATGGCGGCGGTGGCGGTGGCGGTGGCGGGCTATCGGGTGCCGCATCGTCGAGCACGCCGACGCCTCGATCGCGCGGCCGGCCTCGCAAGAACAACGCCTCGTCCTCCCTTTCGACGTCTGGCGAGCACGGCAGGCACAAGAGCCACGGCGGCGGCAGCGGCGCCATCCCGCGCCGCGGCGAGTACCGCATCCACTTTGACCGCGACTACGTCATCGCCCACCTGAAAAACTACGAGGCCAAGGGATACCTCCAGGTGCGCCCTGACCGCCTCAAGTGGACGCCCTTTCTCGTCGCCCGCTCGTTTTTGCCCGCGGGCATGCCCACCATCGAGGCCCTGACGTCTTCGTTGGCCGCTGGCGCTTTGGCTGAGCCGTCGTCGTCGTCGTCGCAGTCGCAGTCGCAAGCGACGACGAGCTACGACACGGCGACCAACGGACAGCTGACGCCGACCTCAAACGGGGCGAGGATCGGCAACTCCGATGACAACGCCAATGGAGCAATGGTCGCCTCTTTGCAGCCCATGGCGGCTTCCTCCGAGGCCCCCGCGACGCCGCCGGTGCCGAGCAGCTCGCAGCTGAGCGCGTTGCCACCGAGCGATACCCTGGGCCTCTCGCAGGCGTGGTCGGACCTGTCGGGCATCGTCTCGCCGGCCCCGGGCTTCACTGCGACGCGGCTGCCGATGGCTGCGGGCTTCCAGCTCAGGCCGGGGCCGGAGCCGTCGACCTTGCGGGTCGAGGCTGCGGGTGCGTCTGCTAGCGCTACTGTGGGCGTGGCGACGCTGGACGTGGAGCAGGCGCAGCGGTGGCCGGTGACGGGCAACGGCATGTCGAGCAGCGTGGCCGACGGGGCGCCCACGTCG